CATTTCTCTCTCCTCTGCACAATTCTCCACCACACAATACCCACTATCTTAAACTCTGTGTCAAACCTATTTGGAAGATAAATTAGGGACGGAGGGAGTATATCATTATATATGTTGACCGATTTTTCGGCATTGATTGGATGACCAACCTGACCCTGACACGATCATGTGACCAGATTCCTTCCCGATCCAGTTTTTAATAACATACATATTTGTTCGAATTGAACTTACACACGACAAGTTATGATAGTATGCTTTCGAGACTGTTTCTAGGGATTCAATAGATTATCCAGAACAGGGACCCCGAATTTAACGGGCCCCAAAATTTTAAAACTTATTAGTGTTATACAGTAATACGTAGTATTATACTCCATATATTAATACTAATCACTTAAATCCAATTAGCTACTCCCTCCGTCCCAAAAACAACTTCCCACTTTCCTTAAATGGATGTCCCAAAATTAACTTCACACTTCAATACTTTTCTTATTTGGCAAATTATCTACATCAAAAAAGTGATAAACAGTGTCAAACAGTGTTTAAACAGTGCCAAACAGTGTTTAAACAGTGCCAAACAGTGCACTCTACAGTAAAGTCAAATTTATTTTCTAAAAGTGTGTGAAAGTCAAACCGGGAGGTTGTTTTCGGGACGGAGGGAGTATTAAGGAAGAAAAATGTAGATAAATCATTTTTTTCGTTGATCCTTTTACTCTCTTAGTTCTCTTTTAATGAGTATTCAATTAATTTGAGTATAAGTATTTGGATTGAGATTTTATTGCAAAAAAATTATATTAATGTAGGGCTCCGATTTTACATTTTGAACTAGGACCACCAAATTCATTAGACGGCCGTGATTTCAGATTGATATTAATTTCTCTTATCTAGAAATTATCCCAATTTTTTTGTATGGGGCGATTTGCAAATATTTGAAAGTTGAATTGAAAAAATTAGGATTATTATAAGTTAATTAAGGATGTTTTTACTTGGACTATAGTTTGCTGATCTGGTCTAGTTTGATCTGAACTGTTATGGTCTGATCTGGTTTCTTTGTATTTTTATAACTACCTAGGTCTGGTCTGGTCTGGGACAAATTATAGTCCAAGTAAAAACCCTACATCCTAAAATGGATCTGGTAGTTATGTGTTTTCATTATACGCATGCGGGTGAAGACACGTGGAAATCTCAAATTTGGTTTCACAAAGATGTTAACAAAATTATGGAAGACAACAAGCAGGTTTGATCTAGGCCACATATTAATCCTACGGAGTATTATTTTTTGCATATGTATTTCAGGCGATCAAAATGGTGTAAGAACAACATTATGTTTGCTTCCATGCATGTAAAACACCCGACATTTACTTTCACAGTTTCAACTACACATATGACATATCCTTATCATTTGATTCCAAGTACATGTTTGTTTTTGAAATCTGTCTTGAAATTAAGATTGATCTCGGAAAAAATTAAGTGTAATATATCATGTGTGAAAACAATATAATAAGAAGAAGTTTATCAATCCAGAACTTGAAACATAAAAAATGAAAACTATCCATATGTGCTCCTAAAGATTAAGATTATCAATCAAACTCAAAATATTATCCTTCATTTCTTTTTGTTACAACATGATTAATTTTACACTATTCATATACTCTAGTAGAGTATATATATTTCATTTATTAATGTATGATAATAATTTGAAAAATATTGTTGAATATATTCTTCTCATTACAAATTTAATAATCTGATTTTTGTTTTATTTTTTTACTAATAGAGAGTTAATACACGGAGGAAGTATAATACACTAAAAGTTGTGCGTTGACAACTTCTCAAAGTTGTGCGTTGACAAACATGAAAATGAGCATATTAAAATTAAAAGAGAACGGAGGAAGTATAATACACTTTGATTAATTTAGTTTTAATTTATTCCATTCCTAACTTTTGTTGTTTTCTTCTTTATAAAATTTTATTTGGTTGATAAAATTAAGGGAAAGTCACGTTTTTGGCCTCTCAAATAATCTTCATAGTGAAATATCAGAACTGTGTTTCTGAGATTGTAAATGTCACCTCCATATTTACAGATGTGTTATAAATGTCATCCCTGCCATTTATAATTCATCTCCAATTTTGGACTACTCAGAGATGACATTTACAACACATTTATCAGTTCAGGGAGACATTTAATAACTCAGAAACACGAGTCTGACATTTCAATATGGTGACTAATTGAGGGATGAAAAGTGTGATTTTCCATCAAGTTAAATACGGAGTAATTTTTACAAAAATTAAAATAAAATAATTATAACAGGCTTCACGATCATGGGTGGAGCTAGGGGTGGGCCAACCTAGGCCATGGCCCTCCCCAAATTTTAAAAATGACTTAATTTTTAAGGTAAAAAATTTCGTGTTAAATTTGTTTAAAAAATATTCTTTGTACCGGCCCAGTCCGGCCGAGTACCCTGGCTCCGCCCCTGTTCACGATGTAGTTAATATATGTACCCCGTAACACATGCTTCTCGATTGAGTTATCCCTTTCATTGAGTAATTGTACTAATGAGTTTTTTACAAGAATATTAGTAAAATAAAATTTATTTACATAAATATGACTATTCATTACTACAATGTAGTGTTGTGGTAAGTTAAGTTCAAAACTTGAACATGAATTACTATAATTTCATTGCTACTTTAGTAACTAGTCATATTTATGTAAACCATCTTTATTTTGATCATATTTATGTAATTATTTCCTAATTAATTATACAAATAAACATGCAAGATGAAATAATTTATCCCAGGCCATGTCATAGTTAATTTCCTAAATTTTGTCCTTTTTCTCCCAAATATCTATATTTTCGCACAATATTTTCTAATAATAAGTTATGCGCTTAAAACAAATTATTACATATTGAGTTTTTTAATCTACTTAAAAAGAATAAAGTAATAAACTTAAGAATATATATCTATTAATAGTTATAACTAATATAGTCTAATACGGAGTACGTACTATGTTTCACTTTAATGTTACATACGGAGAAGAATTATATAAAAAGGTATACTACATCTGTATATAATTGATTTGCAAAATTGACTTTTCTTGTTCAAACAATTTCATTTTTTTCATTTAATTAGGATGTCAATTTATAATTATATTTTAACTTGGAGTTTGCAATTTTGAAGAGATTTTATTGTAGTTTCTTAATATGTTGACTTTGCAAATCAATTTGAGACAGAGGGAGTATTACAGAGGAACACTTAAAGCATTTTTACATGGTAATTTAATCACAAAATATAAAAAACTTAAGAAATAAAAGTAAAACAACTAAACGAACTAAATTTTGAGAGCAAAAAAACTAGGCAGGGGAATACAAAGTACGAGTAATACATATTGAGTAATATGTAATACTCAATCTATTTCAAAGTACATTTTTACTTGGATTGCTTTTAGTCCTGAATCATATTAGACTTAAACATATAGAACAGATCAGACCAAACCAGATTATAACAGTGAATAAAATCAGGGCCGTCTTTTAGGAGGTGCAATAGGTGCTTAGCACCAGGGCCAACTCTTGTAGAGGACCTCCAAAAATTTAGAACGTAATATTAGTCATAGGTTGGTTTTTCCAGATTTTATACTATCTATTATTAAGAATTCCAAAAGCTACTCCCTCCGTCCCTATTATATCTTCCAAATAGGTTTGGCACATAGTTTAAGATAGTGGGTATTGTGTGGTGGAGAGTTGTGCAGAGGAGAGAGAAATGTGTAAGAATTGCTGTGAACCACAAATTCTGGCCAAAAAGGGAAACTGGAAATTTTAATTGGGACGGACGAAAAAGGAAAGTTGGAAGTTTATTTAGGGACGGAGGGAGTATATAACTTTTAGATTCTCTAATTTGTGGACTTTAAACATCATACAACTTATATTTCATCGAACTGTTTAGTCTATTTGTATTTCGTAGTTAAAATTTGTACTTTCCTTATCTTAGGGGGCCTCAATTTGTTATGTCGAACCGGGGCCTCCAAATTCATTAGACGGCCCTAAATAAAATACATATATACCAAAATCACATTACTAAATCTAGAGTATATCACAAGGTAACTATAAATCTATAATACCCTTTCAATTCATAAAGTGCACAATACTGAGCTGATAGAGTATAATAAACTCACCACATCGACAAGCTAAGGCTAGGAACATCATGGGTATGTTTGGCAAATGGCTGTTAGCTGTTGTTGTTAGCTGGTTGTGTCAGCTGTTTCCTAACAGCTGGTTGTGTTAGCTGTTTTGACCGGCTGGTTATGTTAGCTGATTATAGATAACTGTTTGGTAAAATTGGTTGTTTCGAAACGGCTGATAGAGTGTAAATTGAACCAGCCGAATGAATAAGTTGCCCCCCTTAGCTTCTTCAACAATCCATTTTTTCAGCTTTTCAAACTCAACAAGCTAATTTTAAAAGCCATTTACCAAACATCATTATTAGCTTCTTTGACCAATCAAACAGCTGAAATGGGTCAAACAAGCTAAAAGCCGGCTGATAAGCCATTTGCCAAACATACCATGTTAACGTGTTCGGATTTGCATAAGGTCCGGCTTTAAACTCTAGCTTTACCAAGGACACGGATTGCAAAAATACACTCGAATTTTCTTTTTTGAAAGTTACTGTGTGGTAATCTAGTTTTATACTAGTATACGCAGTAGCTAGTTTTTGACCACTTAATTATATGGCTTCTACAACTCTACATCATCATTTGATTTTATTTGTTTAATTTGGGTCATAGTCCGTATTTGATAAGATAATTAAGTTCATATCTTAAAATAAACTTTGATAACATAATTAATCAAAGTTTTTTTTTATAAGAATTAAGTTCATATATTTCCATATTCAAAAAACGGAGCTCTAGATATCGTGATCATGGTAATGAAAGTATAAAAGAGAAGAAAGATGACTTAGAACATTAGGAGAGAGACGATATATTAGAGTGAAAATGAACTGAAGGAACAAACCTTTTTCGCTTCAAGCGACATGGCTGGTAAGGTTTATAGTTTAGGAGGATGTTATTTGGGAATCTGATGACGACGGGAGATGAGGAGAAGCTAAGGATGAATTTCAAGGAGTACTTGTTGTTTATTTATAAAGGGAAAGGGAGGCAAATAAGTCATTGACCTATTGATGATTTTTTTAATTAAATCCTGAACCAGAAGATTTTATATGGATGTTTTCTTTTGGACTGTTTTCAGTCCCAGATCAGATCAGACTAGACCAGACCATATCATACCAAACCAGATCAGATCAACAAATTTCAGTCCAAAAGAAAACATCCTCAATACGTCATTTAACCTATTGAAATAAAGCGATTAAAACATTTCTACTGGTAAATTGCACTTGGAAAATTAATTGTCTTACTGATACCAACAGGTAAAATGGGGGTTAAATGTTGTATTTTAATAAATTGAATGCTGTATTTTTTTTTATGTCTTTTTGTTATTTATTTATGGGCCTGATTGCGTAACACATGCTTCTCGATTGAGTTATCCCTTTCATTGAGTAATTGTACTATGCTACGCATGTGAAAATCAGACGCAAGAGATCTGTAATGGTATTTATGGAGTTCCTATATTATACAGCCGGACAGTGGCGGAACCAGACCATTTTTTGAAGGGGGGCGGTGTGGTAAGTCAAAGTCGGATCAATGCAAAGTTGACACGGGTCAAAAGGAGAGGGAGTAAGGTGAAATGTAGGATTGAAATAACTATTTTTTTTAAATGTAGGATCGAAATAACTAATTTATATATCAAACGATAACAAAGAAACAAGTGAATGAATAGCTTAAGCCTAAAATGGGATGAGACTTCAGACGAAAATATCTCATAATCCTTTCATATTGCTAATCCATAATAATAAGTGTAGTCTAACATTTTTACTGCACTTGCTACTTCAAATAAAAAACCAAAAATTACAAATAAAAGATCCAACTTCACCAGCCACCGAAAAGAGAAAATTGATTTGACTAGCAATCAAAAAAGGTAATCGTGTGAAGTAAAAATTTTCTACATCATCGGTTTGACTAACCACCGAAAATCATTGAAAGATTTAAAGTAATCTTTAGGATTAGCTTAAAAATATAATTATATATGGAGTACAATTTAGAATAGAAGTTATAAAAAAATGTATTGTTAATCGCATAAAAAATTGTCAAGTTAGTTATTACCAAGTATGTAGTATAAAATAATACTAATAAAACCACAAAAACAAGTACAAAACTTTGAAACAGTTTAAATAAATAAAAAAGTTAAAGATTATTAAAATAAATATAAATTCACGAAACTACCTAAATCAAGAGATGAAATTAACTAAACAATACGGACATAATCAAAGCACTACAGGGTAATTGCTAAAAACCTAAAGGCTAGAGCAACTCAACAGTTCATTAATATTTAATTCACTCCGTAAAGAATAACACAATAACAAAGCACAATAACAAAGCAATTCATCAAGTCTGATAGTTCCGATGTGCGATCTTTCGCTAACGAGGAAACGCTGAAGCGACGCTCCCCTGCGGCCTGCATTTCAGCCCTTAATTTTCTCTGGCCCAATTATCCTTTTAGGCCTGTTTTCTGTACGACGTCGTTTGCAATCGATTGAACAACCATTTAACGGAGCGGTGTCGTTTGGAACTTCGAATTAAGTTTTAAAGAAACACCGGAAGGAAATAACAGACCAGGTGCCGGAGGAAGCTGCCGGAGGAAGCTTGAAGAAGACCGGGGCGCCATGGAAAATATACCTAATACTACCTCAAAATTTCCGGCGAACGGGGGGCGGCGGCACCGGCTCGCCCCCCCTAGTTCCGCCACTGCAGCCGGATGTATATACAACCAGGTTTTTTTTGTAATTTGTTTGGTCTATTTCATACGGAGTACTTTGTTCTTCCAAAACTTCTTTTACTACACATCCAATGACGCCTTTCTCTATAGTCTGCCGGTGCCTGAATCTCTCGCCCCAGCCACCGACTTTATGTTGCAGCTGCTGCGCTTGCTTGTGGAGTGCGAAAATGATATGCGCTGTGGATAATTTTTCATCTTTCTCTGAACATGCATCTAGCTACGGCGGCAGATTGACTAAAGCTAGAAAGCTTTTTAATTCTCAGCTCCTTCAATTTCTTATTCAAATTCTCATAACAAAAAAAGTTCTAAAACTGGAATGTGGTCCAAATATAAAAGCATACCAAGTTATTAATATAGTACTCCGTATATTCTTTTTATTACTTTTTATTATGAATCTAACATTGATCATCCCGATATCTGATTCATATCTTTTAATTTACACTTTTTTCTTATTTTTTCTTTTACAAAATTTTTTTAAATTGTATTTACGATACATCTTGTGAATTTCAATATGCGAATTCAATGTGATATTACACTTTTGAAGCATTTATTGATTTAAAAATCGCAAACTCTGTTATTCGAGTATCAAGACATTTTCATTGAGCATCAAACTATCTTTATTAAACATACGAACTCTACAATTGAGTATACAAAATTTCAAAACTTGATATCTTAGCAAGACATTTTCATTAAATATCATATTTTCTCTTTTTGAGTATCATTATGATGTGTATTGAGTATTATAAGTCTCAAATGAGCAATAGTGTACTTTTAGTGAGCATCCGACCTATTTTATTGAGTATTAGGAGGCTAACAATGAGTATTATGATATTTGCTTCATATATCCTAATTCAATTTTTATCTTATTTTTTGCTTTTGTAAAAACTTATTAAATTGTATCTATAATATACTCCTATAAATTTAAATATGTGAATTTAATGTAATATGATACTTTTGAAACATGCATTGATGTGACATTTTAAAACGAGCATAACATCAGTACCGAATGAGCATATGTAACTTACAAAATGTTCATTGATATGAAAATTGTAAGGTTTGTTAATTTAACATGATGACATTTTCATTGAGCATCAAACCTCCTATATTGAGATAAAAATCATGATTTCTGTTAAATGAGCATTAATGAATTTTTAATGTGAATCACACATATTATATTTAGTATTAGGAGTCTAATATTGAGCATCATGCATGATCCCTGCTTCATAAATTCTAATTCACTTTATTTTTGTTATTTCTTCTTTTATAAAAAATTATTCAATTATATTTGTGATCAACTCCTATCAATTTCAATATGCAAATATAATGTAATTTAATACTTTTTGAAACATGCATTATATAACATTCTAAAATGAGCATAACATTAGTATCAAATGAACATACATAACTTACAAAATGAGCATTAATATGAAATCTGTAAGTTTTGTTAGTTAAGTATCGAGACATTTTTTGTGAGCATCAAACCCCGGCTATTGAGTGTTAATTAGAATCGTGCGATTGAGTATCATGATTTGTGCTCTCGTGTCTATAATCACAACAAAAAAACGACGACATTTTAATAATTTAAACGAAACTCGCGATTTTTGCTAAATGAGCAGTATTGCACTTAGCTTGTAGTGAACATTAGACTTATTTTGTTGAGTATTAGCAGCCTAACAATGAGCATCTTAATTGATACTTGCTTCATACTATCTATTTTTTAATTCACTTTTTTTTTCTTTTTATTTCTTCTTTTATAAAAACCTACGGAGTATTAAACTATATCTATAGAACCTATACTCAATTCTTATGAATTTCAATATGCAAATCTAATGTAATATATTAATATGGTACTTTTGAAATATGCATTGATATAAAATTTTAAAAATGAGCGTAACATCAATATCAAATGAGCATACGTAATTTTACAAAATGAGTATTATAACAATATCAAATGAGCATACGTAATTTACAAAATGAGTATTATAACAATATCAAATGAGCATACATACTTATGAAATGAGCATCGAAAAATTCAGAAGGCTCATTTAAAATCTCTAGTATGCTCGAATATTAAATGAGAATATATAACTTATGAAATGAGCAACAGAAAATATAAATTGAGCATTACGCCAATATCAAATGAGTATTACACCAATATCAAATAAACATTACGCCAATACGAAATGAACAGTGAAAAATTTAAAAAGCTCATTTAAAATTTCTAATATGCTCAAATATCAATTTGTGTATGTTCATCTCAAGATAACATAAAGAAGCATCAATTCGTTATTTCAGACTAACCAATTTTATTGTGCTTATTTTCAAATAAAGTTAGAGGAGCAGAGACAAAAGGCATATATAAAAATAGAAAACTTAATCAGAAAAAGAAAAAGAAAAGTTAAAGTTAGAAAATTTGAAGTTCAAAATTATAGGAAAAGAGAAGAGTTAAAAAAAGTTAAAGTTAGAGGAATTGAAGTTCAAAATTAAAAGATAAGAAAAAAAGAGAAAGTAGAAGCAAAAATAAAAGAAAGTAAAAAACGAGAAGCAACGAAAGAAGATAAAGAAGCGACGGCTTTGCTGAAGCGACGGCTTTGCTCCTTCACAAGGTGGCCATAGGAATCAGCTCAGATGCTCCAACTACAAAACGGAAGATGATAATGATGTTCCAGCTCAGACTATTAGGCACTACAAAAACGCCGGGGACCGGGAGAAGTAAAGGAAGATCAACATTCAAAGTGTTAATAATTGCAAAAATACCCGGTTGTACGGTGAGGACCGTACAACCGGGTGTATGGTATATTTTGCGGTATTTATGTCGGTGCTTCTATAGTTCTATATCACCACAAAAAAAAACATGCTATATAGCTCATGTGAAACTGAAATTATTTAATTTTATTTTAAATGTGTTTTAACTTTTGAACCTCTTCAATTTTTTATTCTTTATTTATTTTTTGGTTTTAAATTTTTAATTTTTGTAATTCTAAATAGTCTGTTTGAAGGAGTCCATATAATGCTTTCTAATTACTACGGAGTATTGTATTCTGACGGACGGAAGTTCATTGGAAATCATTACTAGACTGATTGGTGTCTCAAAATTTTAATAAATTTGACTGACACGTAAAATTATAAAGTAAATATTATGTCGTTGAGATTTGTACAGAGAAGAAAAAAATAACAAGAATTACAAAACAATTGATTAAAAAGGGAAAGTGATAAAGTTTTTTTGGACACCCCAGCGAAGTTTTTTGGGAAAGTGATAAATGTTTGGGAGTATCACTTTCACT